GCTGGAGAAGATTCTGGGGCTACAGATGTTTCAAGAGGCTGAAGGCAGGGGCACTGATGAAAGGTGGACCAGCCCGGAGGGGGAGGCAGGGCTCCCAGTTTTTCTGGCTGCACCGCCAGGTCTCTCCTTCACACACATCCCCACTTCCTCTTCTGTTCCCCCCTGTCCCGAAATATCAGACCAGACCCTTCCACCAGCGCCGCAGCTCCACAATCCCCTTTGTTGTCTGGACTGGGGGCTCCGCCAGACGCCCCTCGCTCCCTAGCCAACGGGGCCCGTCTGGGACCCCTCTTCCTTTCCCACCTGCCTTTTCCCTTGAGAATTGGAGCGGGGCTCGGACTCCGAGTTCCTCCCGCTGGCGACCAGGAAAGGGTTAAATGGGTGGGGGTAGGATATGTTCCCTGGACCGCCCGCCCCGTGGGTCAGCGGCTCTGGACATCATCTTCCCTGACAATCTCCCTCCCCCGGCACCTTACCTCCCTCCCCCACTCCCGCTGTCACGGAGCCACCTTGGGAGAGGGGCCGGATGCCAGGGACCCTAAGCTCTCGCCCTGGGGGAAGGAAAAGAGAGAGTTAAGCGGAGGGCGTGAAAAGCCTGGCCCCTAGACCCCTCTCCCCACTCCATCTCCAGCGCTGGGCCCCCTGAGGCTTGGGGAAAAGAATCGCCAGAGTCCCGCAAGAGGGCACCCCAGGCCCGGGACAGCGGCGCCACCAGCACGCCCGGTCCCTTGGGGTTTCCCCTTGGACAATGCAGGGCGTGGGAACCAGACGGCCTTATCGGTCTCGGGGGAGAAGAAAGGAGGGGCCGAAACGCTTACCGGGGGCCCGGGCAGGAGCAGCGGCCACTCTCTCCAGCTGGCGGCTTAGCCGCAGAAGGCCCTTGTGTCCCGGCCCTCGGGGTCGGCGGCGCTGCAGCAGTGCCCGGGCCTCCTGAAGCCTGCGGGAGGGGAAGGGAAGCAGTCAGGCCGGGGCCGGGAGGACGCCCCCTGGCTCCTCCTGGGGCAAAACCCCCACCGCACCCACTAGCTTTCCCCCCTCCTCCCCATTGAGGCTAAGGCAGGCGCCCCCTGCAGGCACTGCCCGAAGGATGAGGATACCCCAAGAGACCTGAGGCAGAGACAGACTCAGAGACTAAAGACAGAGGCAAAGAATGATCTAGTGACCTGCAAAGAGATGCGATTGATCGGTGGAGAAGCAGATGGCACAGAGTCCTGGCAGTAGAGACTTGGAAAGAGAGGACTGAGACCTTCGGGAAACAGAGACTTGGGGATGACACAGTCAGAGATATGCAGTGAGTAGGACAGAAAGAGAGACAGAGCAGGGGACAGAAATCCAGACACGGACCCCAAGAGGCTGAGAGACCTGGGAGCGGGTGCGAGAGACTGTGACTGGAAAGGCCAACGCAGAGTCCTCATCCCACCCTGCCTCTCCCCCTAAGAAGGGGGAAGACACAAACATGGAGAAACTGAGAATATCATCTGGGGGAGGGGGAGCCAGAGATTTGTGGAGGCATTAAAAAGACAGACACACCCAGACGAGATAGAGAGCCTGGGAGGCAGAGACTTGGGGAGAGGGGAAGGGAAGAGGGCCACCAGGATCCAAAGCTGGAGGCTTTCCTCTGAGACAGAGAAAGCAAGAGATACCAAGAGGTGACTGAGGAAAACTGTCTCACCCGAGATTTTGGGAAAGACAAACCTGGAGAGCAAAGGAGACCGAGAAAGAGATGAGAGACATAGGGCTGGAGAGTAAGACAGTGTGACTGACAAAGAGACAGAGAATTCAACTCAGAGACATGAGACGCAGATGGCATACAGATAGAACCATGGAGAGAGACAGAGCCTGGAAAAGGTGGAAAGGCAGTAAGAGGAGAAAGAGGCTTAGGGAGGAAAGACAGGAGAACAAGACCGAGATAGACACTCCGATGAGATACAGATACGTAGGCAGAACAACTTAGATACAGAAAGACTGGTGGGGGGAGCAAAGACACCCACAGAAAGATGAGACTCACAGAAAGGGGCCCGCCCACAGGGAAGACACCAGAGACCAACATGTGGTAGAAAGGAGGGAGAGAGGGGGAGAGGGGGAGAAGGAAAGGGAGAGACAAAGCGAGAGATAAAGATGAGCTGGGGAAGAGTCAGAGACAGAGAGATGAAGGAGAGCAGACGTAGTGATATCTATGACACGTGTAAAGCGAGAGAGCCCCGGTGAGAAGACAGACCTCACCACTTGGGGGAAAGGAAGAGATCCGAGTACTGATTCCAGGTCTTCCACAGGAAGACAGAGACACAATACAATAACATTCTAAAGCATAAAATCTATGGCTTGGAAAGGACCTTAAAGATAATTTAGCCTAACCCCCTCATTTTACAGACGAGGAAACCGAGCTCCAGGAAGGTTAAGTACCTGCCAAAATAGAAGGACTGGGACTTGCTTGCCCCGAGGTCCTCTACTCTGAGTCTAGCCTCCTTTCCCAAACACCACGAAGCCTCTTGAAGAAGACAGGGATGGAGGCAGAGACCCAGAGAACACCTCTAATCGGTGAACCCAGTCAGTCGAGACCCGGAGAGAGACAGCGACTCCCAAGAGGCAGAGAGAACTGGGGGAATGGGAGGGTGGGGAACCACAGTCACTATGGGACAGCCAGTCCAGTAAGGAGAGAAAAACGAAACAGACGGACAACCAGAGGCAAGGGCAGCACCGACTAGGGTCAGGAAGGGAGCCCCCAGTCTGCACTCACGTCAGCGGCTGCCAGGTGAGGGAGGCCTCTCTACGGGTAACGGGCACGGGGCTAGGGGCGGGGGCCGCTGTGGCCCGGGGAGCCCGAACAGCCCGACAGCTGGGCCGACAGGGGCACAGCTGAGGAGCTCCACACTGCTCCCCTGGTGGGCACTGCGGAGACCAACAGGGAGCTGCAGGGGAGAGACCAGGGCTATGTGAGCAAGCACCTTTCTCCCCTCGGGCTCCGCGGGACCAGAGGTAGGAGCGTTGTCAACCCAGCCTTCATCCACCCCGCGCCGCGCCCAGTGCCATCCCAGAGACGGAGGCAGAAGCTCAGACAGAGTGCCCCTAGAGCTCTGCCCCTGCCCACGCGACCCCTACCGCCCCGTCCAACCTCCGCCCCAGGAGGGCACTCACCTCTAGAACAGGGGCCCGGGCGTGGAGGGCGCCCAGCGCAGCAGCGGCGGCAGGCAGCTGCAGAGCTGGAAGCAGAGGGTCGGCAGAGGGAGGAGAGGCCGAGGTCAGCTGGGCATCACCACCCACAGCTTCGGCTGCTAGCCTCCAGCCTCCACCAGCTCCCCGAGGCCCCCCAGACGCACTCCCTCCTGCCTCCACAAGGTGGCGCCGCCCTCCCGGAGGCCCCGGCTCAGCGCTTGGGGCCAGGCTCCCGGGGCCCCCAAACCCCCTGCGTCCCTCCTCCCCTTCCACCTCCAGCCCCTGCGCAGGCGCACCCCCTCCTCCACACCCCTCCAAGACCGCTCCATTCTCTCCTGGAGGGGGTTGCCAGACCCACGGGCTCTCAGGCCCCTAGGATGGGAAAGGGATAGAAAAGTGGGGTGGAGTGGGGGGCAGTACGGCCAGGCCTTTGGTTGCCAGTCCCAGGGCCCTGCTGCCCCCATGGAGAAGGAGAGTTGGAGGAAAAAACCCTTGGAGAAGCCCCCTCCCCCCGGGCCTGCCGGTTAACCCCTTCCCGGCCCCGCCCCGGCGCGGCGCGGCACTGCTGAGCTCGGGTTACTAAGCGGATTCGCAGAGGCGGGAGCCGGAGCCCTGGCCTTTTGTAGCGGAGCGCGGGGGCCGATCTGGCAGGGGGCGGGGTGGGGAAGAGCCAGGCACAGCCCACTCTCTCTACCCAAAACCTGGGGATAGGGCCTGGGCTTCCACCCCGGACGA